CTCTACTACCCCTGTGTTGCCTTCGCCTACCACCGATTACTCTAGTTAGTCTTTTTATTCGGTATTGGATACATAATCCATTGTAAAACTTTATTTAAAGGTTTATAATTTATTACTAATCTTGTTACGCCTTTTTTTTTTCCCCCATTTTTATTGACATAAAAAGCAGCACAGCTCTAAGGAGATGCATTTATTCTTATTAGATTTTTGCTTTGTAATTCATCAATTTCTTTTTTAAAAAATTCTTATAAGGTTGTATTCATTTGTACTGGTTTAGCCTTGGTAGGAATTTTTGATTCATCAAACCCCTTTTCGTAAGGTAATCCTACTATATGTTTCTTTCTTGTCCAAAAAGCATTAGGAAGGTTACTACAAATTTCTGTTTCTATTTGAGTCCGAAGATTATTGACTTTTGTTATTATTTCAGGGTTTTCTAAGTCTTCTTCTATTTGTTTATATTTTATTTCTATTTTAAGGGAACATAGAAACTTTTCTTTATTATCCATTTTGTCTTTGACTCTATTGATTTCTTTAACTTTTGGTTTTTCTAAAAATTCAAACTTAATTGTTTGTCCTACTCTAGATGTTTCTATTCCTGTATTATTAATTGTTATGTGATATAGTAAGGTTAGGAATGGAATTCCAAGTATGACGGCCTGACTTAAGTTTTTTACTATAATAAAAGGTGTTGGAAAACAGTGTCCATTATTACATACCATGGCATTTGATAATTTGTATTTAATAAATAATCTACTACCATCAGCAGTATTAAGTATTTGAGTAGTTTCATCAAAATATTTTGATGGAACTAAACCTTCATTAATACAATTTAAATCTGCACATGAATCTACTAAAGCTAATGTTTGAAAATTATATTCTTCTTCGATGACAATTTTTACTAATATAAACCATTTTTGAGAAATAATTTTATTTACTAAGTTTACCGATATATTTTCTTCAACTTCTTTGATTCTGAAGGTTTCTGGTTCTTTATCACTAGGATCTGCTAGTTGATGGAATTCGATTTCGTCTGTATCAGTTACAGTTCCTGATATGTCATTTTGTAATTCTAATATTTTGATTCTAGTTTTTAATTGTCCTATTTCTGTTTTTATTTCATTTACTTCTTTTTTTAATTCAGATATTGTGGGTTCTCTTTGAAGTATATCTTTTTTATTAATTCGTTTGAGTATTTCAGCAAAATTGTAATCCTCTGGTGGTTTGAGTAATGGAATTGGTTTATTTTTTGTTTTTGTTAATGTGATAAATTGGGTAATAATTTCTCTTTTTTCCTCTGGATCATTTATTTTTTCTATAAGGTCTAATATTAATGTATCTTCTTTGGATAGCATATTACAGGGACATTCTTCTATATTCTGTTCAGATCCAGATTGTTCTGTTGAGGACATGAAATAATCTTCATCTTCTATTTGTCCTACCATTGTAGTATCAGTGGAAGATTCAGAAGAATCATCATCATATATTTGTATTATATTATATAGTTTATTTCTAATGGATTCTTCTAATATTATAGTATCTATTTTCTTTTTTATTTTACATTGGCTTTTATAATGGCCAACTTTTCCTCATTTATAACATACAGGTAATTTCCTTTTACCCTTATGATACTTGTATTTTAGAGAGAATCTTTTTATGAATTTTTATTTCTTATGTTTTTTATAAGATTTCTTTTCTTTGTTTCTGTCTTATATCTTTTCCTTTTATGAAATTTATCTCTAGAATTTTCGATATGATATCCGAATTGTTCACAGAAGTCTCCTAATTCTTTTTTACCAGTCATTTTTTGTTTGTCTAATTGTTTTTTTAATTTCATGTCGGTACATAGGGCTAATCCTTCTGCACATATTTCTGCAGATAATTCTCCTAATGTATAAACAGAATATGGTATTATTCCTCCATTTTTATTTTTTAATCTAGTTTTTACCTTTTCTGTAAATAAATATGGTAATCCAGCAATAAATTTTTCTTTCCAATGATCCTGCTGGCTATCTTCTCTGCTTAATAGTCTGGAAAAGAAAACATCTTTGTACCATTTATAATGGGATAGGGTTGGACATCTTAAATTAGATAACAAATCTTCAGATCGGGCTTCAAGTAAGGCTTTACTCCCCACAAAATGAAGTGTGATGGTGTAAATGAGAGTATTAACAACATCACTTTCGGAATATAGGACGTCTTGATTATTTTCATTTTTAACAGTCCATTGCAGAGTATAATTCAAAATTTGTTGTTTTGTATTTTCAGGTAAGTGGAAATCCCACCAACCTCGAAGCCATCCTGTGAAACCACAAACAATAGCTTTGGCGACCTCTTGATCATGGTTGCCTACCATTTTGCACGCAGAGGCATACATGGTCATATGTTTTATAGTGTCTAATATTTGTTGTTCAGATAATCCATCTATATTCCAATTTACTATTGATCTTCCTGAATAGGAAATATTCTGGGCTACCAAATCTTCTTCGAATTGTATATCAACAGGGGTAGGTCTATGATGATAGGGCCTAGCTGTTAAAGGTTTCCATGATTTTCCATATACTATTCTTTGAATATTATTATTATCTTGTTCATGACTCTTTTCCGTAAAGGCTTCTTCCATATTTTCTATTGTGTTAGCAATTATGGGTATCTCTTCTTGTAAGGTTAATGTAGATGATTCAGGGATTTCTATAGAAATTTTCTCTTTTTCTTTGTCCTGAATTTTTAAAATTTTCTCTTTTATTTCTAATTTAGATAATTTTGATATTAATTGATCCATTAGGGTTTTATTATCTTCTCCTAAATTAAATTTTTCTTTATCAAGTGATGGAGGTGGTTTAAATAAAACATTTGTGGTTTCTTTTATAGGTACAGGTCTTAACATATTTTCAATCCTGGATGCTTGCCTTCCTAAAGATTGCATATATAAATTTGTATAGTTATTTTGTTCTATTACATGTGGAATTAATTCAGCTTTATGTATTATTTCTCCTGTGGTCATTTTATATGGTGTAGCCTTTGTGTCTAATTTTAATTCTGGTTTTGATCCTTTTATAATAATACTTTTTTCAGGAGGGTGAATACTTGTCATTGTATTTCCTTCAGTTGTTTCATATGAAGCATATTAACTTTGTATTGTATTTATTTCAAAATAAGGAATATGTATTTTTCTTTCCCTACATATTTCTTTTAACCAGACAAAAAATCCTTTGTTATATCGTTCTCTTTTTCGTGCCTTATTGTACTTTGTATGAAATAATTCTACTAATCTAGGTTGAAAATGTTTTTTATACCAAGTTCTTATCTTCTTATTTTCTTCAGATAAGTAATCCTGTTCTATAAATTGTTTGCTAAGTCTTTTTTCTTTTGTAAGAGTTAAGACTTGAAAATCCATTTCTGAGTCAGTTATTTCTGGTTCAGATTTTTGTATGGACCTATAATGTGGGATGATAATATTTTCTCTTGTTCTATATAGACTTTCTAAGTTTGGATTTATAGAAGAGGTAGAACTTCTTGGTAATTCTATTATAGGTTTTGTAGATGATTTTATTTCAGAATCATCTTTACTGTTATTTCTTCTATTGTTGGTAAATTGGATTTCTATTTTACCATTAGGATTTTCTAATATTCTTTCTGGAATACTATTTATTCTTGGGGCTTGGTACTGATGATTTTCATTGTAGATTGACCATGATTCTGGTAGAGTAATTTCTGACCATTCTATGGTTTTTGGTATATTAGTATTAGATTTTTCAATATTGGTTTGGAAAAGTATTGTTTTTCCTCTTGTATCATGTTGTATATATATATATATATATATATATATATATATATATATTTATTTATTTATATATGTTATACCGTATTTTTTTTGTTATATATTATTTTATAGATATAAAATAATATATTAAATAATTTTTTGGATCTGATCGGGTCTAGATTTAGATCCTATGTATACTTTTAAAATTTCAATCTGGATCAAGATCCCATATATACTTTTAAGATCAAAATCCAGATCTTGGTGGATTCAGATCTGATCCGATCCATTGTCAGCCCGGCCGAGTGGTAGACTTGCACTACAAGTCTTAGCACGTATTGAAAGAGGAAATGAGATATTTTTCTCTTGCTTTATAGGGGTACGAAGAGATATTGCGCTTGTTTTTTTTTTTTTCTCTCTCTTTTTTATTCCTTGAAGAGATATTTGATTTGGGTTTTTTTCATTTTTGAGAAAGAGATAGAGGGGTAAGGAGGGGTACGGTGTACGGAGAAAATAGAAGGGGATTAAGACATACATGAATATACCATATATTGATGGGTTATAGATGTCTTACTCATGCGGAAATATACTATCTATTTACTCTCTCAAAT